TGCCTTTATCACTTGTTTCTAAAAGTAACATTAAAATTAAATGTAGGGATATTGTATGGATTATGAGTATTATATATAGTAGTTATGTAGATTGTAGAGAGAGAGAGATGGAAATATCAGTTAGAAGAGAATTACTGTTGTGATGGAATTAGGTCCTTACACGATTTCCATGCACCATCTTTGTCTATCATTCATCTCTTTTCACTCATGTTCATAACTCATTCTGGTATACTATTTGTTTCCTAACTACATTTATTTCCTTTCGCTATGAGAAAATTAAACGTGGAGACATACTTATGAATTGATGATCTGATTCATTATTATTTCTAATTTACTAATTAGTGATTAAGTTATTGTATGATTTAATTTAATATTATATTTTTAGTAAATTTTTATAAAAGTTGATATGATAAAAATTAATTATTGACTTCAACTTAAATTTTTATCAAATTTTTTTTGCTAAATTAAATAGATACCGAAATTTTTTTTGAGAATAATATATAAAACTTCGTATCATCTATACATTATCATCATTTTTTAAATACGATTTAAATTGTAAAACATAAAAATAAACTAAAATAAAAAAATAATTTAGACAATTTTGAAGTTTGGAGAATTGGAGGGAGGTGTTGGGAAGGTCGGAGACAAATAATTTTTCCATCTCTACGTGTAAAGTGAGAGAATAAGGAACTATATACATTGTTAAGCTTAATAAAATGGAGGGTCAAATGCATTGTCGATCATTCAACTTTGAGTGAATGTGCATGATCTAGACATTAAAGCTAATGTATGACTATTGTAAATGTCAACGCCATACAGAAATGCACAGAATCCATCTTAAACTATTTTTATGTAATAAATGTATGAACTAAAAGCACGTTTTTCACTTGTTAGCTATTAATTATTTTTAGCATCGAGTTCAATGTAGTTCGTTAGTTAAACTAATAATAACAAACAAAGTGATCAAATCTACAAGCAAATCAAAGTTGTGTGACTTGATTACATCAAATAGAAGATGAGAAAATAAATTTACTTACAAATTGAAGTTCCGTAGTTTGATTACACGCATTTGAAGATAAGTGACGTGGATGCACCTCCACTCAAAATTGGGTGACATGCGGTGCATTTAACCCTAGAATGGATTATAACATTAATTAACCATGAAATTAGTTTTGATAATAGGCCATGACATTAGGCCAACTTAATGCATAGATTTTACGTAGTTTTTTTTTTTTACTATTCTCCTGGACATTTAGGTATTAACAATTTATATTTAATCACTTATTAGTCTTAAAGGTAGTGATGTTAGAGTCTTAATTATAATTGGCTTTGTCCATATTCAAAATCTAGGTTAGTTGAGTTGAAATTGAGTTGTGATTAAAGTCAAAAAGAGTTGGGATTGGTAGTATGGTCTTGAAGAAGTCCATAATGTCCAAGAAGATCATATGCAATCATTGGAATGCAATTAAAAATCAAAGAAGTGTAAAAGTGTTGCACAAATCATGCTCCAAATTCTCAATCACAAGTTTCAACGTATTTTTCATGTAAAAAACATTGGGATTTGGATAAGGCTATTTAGAAAAATTGTAGCCATTTGAGTTATTTTTCTAATGCACTTTGAATCAACTCAGTCTAATATCGAGAGAGAAATGTATGATAAAAATACTGACGGTTATTCAACTACCGCTAACATAGCGCCCAAGCGCCCAAAACAGTATTTTGGTGCCCCCTTGGTGCTCGAGTGGCCCTGTTACGTGTTAAAACCCTATTTCTTGATTATTATTTTTTTAGTCCTATTTCACCATAAACACTTCCCATTATAAATATACATGCCATAGATTGCCCCAAACGTGTGTTGAATCATTCTTTCACTATAGAAAAAACATTATTGAAGATCAAACAACACATTCAAAGTTATCTTGATTTAGCCCTTTCTTTGTTGATTCATAAATTCATCAGATAGTTTGCTGATCGAGCCATAACATTCTATATTCAACCCAAGATCGAAACACAAAAAGATCTAATGATCAAACACCAAAGCAACCACTTCCGTATAATCGTCACAGTTTTGAAAATCGGGAAAGGAAACTAGAGTTCCGGTAAAACAAGAATAATGAGTTCGGGCGATCCTCAAGAAATAGACAATTCCAAAAGGTTGGGAGGTGGTGTAGGAGTACGTAGTCCAAGAAGGTCTTGGTGATTACAAGGAAATAGGTCAAAAAGTACTAAGAGTTAATCGAGTCTAGACTGTACTATAAGTTAATTTGTCTATATTACTGACTTATGCCCGGAGTTTTTAGATCCTTTGGAAGGGTTTTTTTTTTTTCGTGATCATCTTTGGTGTTCTTATTTAGTTACTACTTTTGATTTATTGTGGTATTCAAATATAGGGTGGAATTAGATTAATTGACTTAATCATCTAGAAACAATTAATCAGTATTAAGTGACTTGTTGTTTTTAATTGGTTAATTCCACACGTGGATTTAAATAAAACGTTAATTTGAAACTTTCGTATGTAAACGAGCCGGTCAAGCCAACCACAAGCCGAAAATCGTGGCTTGAGCACAGCCCGAGCAAAAAATGGCTCAAGCTTTTTTCGCCTGTGCCGAGCTGAGTCGAGCTTTAGCTCAATCGAAAAATCGAGGCCGGCTCAAGCTTTACCAAGCCGAACCAAAATAATTTTTTCTTTTTAAAATTTGTGCTGGCAACTGAAGCAAGCTGCTTCAAGCAAACGACAGCCTACCTGAAGTAGCTTGGTAGCTACCTACTTCAAGTAACAGCACTCGACGGCAGGCAAGCAACTAAGCCTATAACACGAGCTATTTTTTGCCGGCCACTAGTCGAGCCGGCTCAGGCTTTTTATGGACCAAGTCACGAGCCGCTCCATTAGACGAGCCGTATGACATCCCTACTTCAAGGTAGTCAAAGGGTGACTATGGTACTCAAAATTAGAAATAAAGGAGGTTAATGATATTTTTTAAAGTGTGAGGGGATGTATCTAATAGTCTCACAATATTTAACTATTTTGGTGCGAAAGCGTTTTGAGAAATTTTGTAATAAGAATTATGTAGTAATTAAGAACGATATTTTAATAATCTTACTTTGTATTGATTTATGATTGATTGTGATAAAAAAGTGTACAATACATCTATATTTTTTGGCAAGATTATTTTCTACTTCTACTATTACTAGAAAATTGAAACTATAGTCCTAATCAAATAAAAGATAAAAATCTTATTGCAACTAGAAAAGATAAAAATAATTAAAAAGATAAACATAACTATGAAAGATAAATCACGATTGTAGAAAACTACTAATCATGATTATATACATCAATTTTCTTTTGAGTTAGACATGAAATAACCTAAAAGTTGAAGAGTCACTCTAAGTCTCAAGTATTACTCAAGATCGTGTATTTGGAATTGAGTAATCAATTAAGAAACTACCAAAGATCAAATAGCTTATATCGACCATTTGTCGAGATTAAACACACGGGGTTAGAATATCTTAGTTTGGATAAAAAGACAATTGTAGATGTTACATAACAAAATTGTGCTTTATCAACTCCTTGTTTGTGTGAGTCCTTGACAAAAGAGACATGCCACCCCATCCCTTTTATAGTCTCGAACATTGTCATGAAAAAACAAGCTACTATCTATCGACACTTAAGACCTCAGGCAGATTTTGATCTTGTTGAGTACACGAATATAGATGGTGGTTGAATTTGCTGCTTACTTCTGAGATCATATTCATGGTCCATAAAACTGGAAGAGAGCTTCGACAAACAAAAAGAGTACATATTCAAGGCAACTCTACTCAATGTGGAAGGGCTTTCTTGAGAGGGGCAGGCAAGAATTATCTGCATACCCAATAACTATTGGGTGTACACGTTAAGTATGGGTACTGGGTCATGCAACCCAAGAAATTACTAGGAAAACAATCGCATTTTCCTTCAAAGGATTAAGGGTTTTTCTCTTTGTGTTTTAATTTTAATTTTGTGTTTTGAGTTTTGAATTCATTTTGAATTTTGTATTTTGAGTGTCCATTTTAAGATTGTTGAAAATGTATTTTTTTTAGCATTTTGAAAAATTGTTTCGAACTTGTAAATTTTTAACTTGTTTTCAAAAAAGCGTTTTTAAAAATGGAAAAGAAAAAAAAAAAAAGTACTGGACAAAAGACCAGCAAAAACTTTTAGTACCCAAGACAGAATTTTAAGCTTATACATATGCTAGCAATACTGTCCATTTTTTGTGCTAAGCAATGATTACACATGAATAAAACTTCAATTAACAGCCCAAAAGTTGTCATGATATTAACAATTACATTCATTCTTCGACCAAAAAAAAATACAATTATTTGAATAATCTGAACAAAATCACTACATTAGTTCTTTCTCAATCCTCTACAAAAGGTACATCTCAAATGTAATCCTTCTACCTAATTTAATGATGTGAAAGTGAGAGCCACGTGTATTCTCAATAAGCCCAGTCTTCTTCCAAGCAAGTTTTCTAAAGGTAACTCACATGCAAAACCTACAGATTGTAATGGATTAAATATTGATGAAATTAAATAAATGAGAGAACATTGGTTTAACTATTTCACAAAACGCCTAACGCGCGTTATATATAGTTTGTAGGTACGTAAACAAGAAGCACAAAAATCTTGCGAATCCCTTTTATCAGCGTGCTACCCATCAGACTCAAGGATTTTCATGAGTAGTTTGAAAAGAAGAGGGCCTTCATGTTACGTTGAGGAAGAAGATACCAGTGGGTAGTGTTTGTTTTTACCCCCTTCATCCTAAGACAAACTAACCAAAACATAGCATGTTTGGCTAAGCATAAAAAGTTTATTTATAAGTAAACAAGTTTTAAAACAAAATTTATGAAAACAAAAAATGTACTTGAAAAGTACATTTTCAAGCTCAGCCAGCAGATAATCAATGTCAAAACATAATTAGAAAAAAAATGACTGGCATTTACCGTAAGACAAGATTAGCTTCCTCATTTCTGCTTGAGAGTGATCTTGTCACCCAGGCTGAGAGCAATTCCTTGGGTCTTGCTCCTTATCCTAATATATCCATTCAGTTTGCCATTGGCCTGTTTCTCGACACTAATATTCAACAAAGCATCCTCTCCAAACATGCTCTTTGCATACAAATTTGCAGCCAAGAACCCGCATTCACCATTCAGTGCAGACCTGAATTTGAACCAGAATAAAAGGCAAAACTACAAATCTGACCACCCACATCCCACAATAAGCAAAAGAAAAGAAAAGGAATAAATATTGCAGAGCAGTATTTGCATAGGATATAAAAGAAGGAAGAAAAAAATGATATACAGACTCGCCATTGATATGTAGCAATTGGAGTAAGAGAGGACAAAATATTCTAAAGCTTAACGTTACTTAGGGGTGGCAAAAAAGTTCGGCGGCTCGGACGGCTCGGGCTCGGCTCGGGAAAAGTCCGAGCCGGGCCCGGCTCGGTTGCACCGAGCCGAGGCTCGGGCTGAGCCC